GAGTAGGCTTGCCTATAGACACCACCCTTCCTCCCTCCCTCCCTCCCTCCTCCCTCCCTCCTCCCTCCCTCCCTCCCTCCCTCCCTCCTTCCCTCTATTTTGAGTGCCCGTTTCTCACTGATTCTGTCTTTTTTCCCATGCTGCTATTAAAAGACAATGACTAGTTAAGCGTCTGAGGTGAGGCAGGTGCCTCCTGATTGTAGTGCTCTCAGGCGAGTATTGATTCTGATGGCACAGACTGGCTGTGTTTATTAGGGTGTTTTAGTGACTGTGCTTGCTCTGTTAAGTTGGAGGAAAGCCATCAGTTGTTAGCTCTAAATGTCTGTTTCCTGCACCAGTGGGCAGATCTGAGGTTAAAGAGTTTCATGTTCCAGGTCCAGTACTGAGATAGACCGGTGTGCTTGGTATCTGGGTTTCAGCCAACACTGGCCTTTAAGGCTCTCTACATTGGCTAACAGAGATGTTTGTGGGTCTTGGGCTTTGCCTAAGTCACAACCCTATCAAATCCTTCTGTATACATGTGGTATTTTCACACTGCAAGTAACCTGCCCTCTAAAATGTGTGCAAACTTTTATTTTTTCCTCAGTTAGTGAGATAGTTCTTCAGTGGCTGAAATATATAAATTATTACCATTATTATTTTTTTTAATTATGAAGTAAGATGGACACGCCTTTAATCCCAGCACTCAAGAAGCAGAGGCAGGAGGATCTCTGAGTTTGAGGCCAGTCTAGTCTACAGAGTGAGTTCCAGGACAACCAAAGATACACAGAGAAACCCTGTCTCAAAAAAAACAAAAATATAACTTATTTAATTAATATGTATTTAATGTATATGTATGAGTGCCTGCATACATGTTTGTATACCACTAAGGAGCCCAGATGAGGTTGTCAGATCCCCTGGGACTAGAATTACAGTCATTTGTGAGCCACCATGACAGTGCTGGGCAGTCAAACCTGGATCCTCTGGAAGAGCCGCCAGTGCTCTTAATTACCAGGCTACCTCTCCAGAGCCCATCTTTTCATTTGGCAGTGGCTTTGGAAGAACAGTTTGTCACAGTAGCATTATGGATATACACGTGTGTTGGAGCAAGACTACAGGTCACTGTGTTTTGCCTTGGGGTCAGGGACTATTTTGTTTCAGAACAGGGATGTCAGAGGTAACAGTTGAATACAGTTCAGAATCAACAAGAAGGTGAGACAAGCTGTCCCAAGGCATCCAAGATGTTGTAGTCATGGTACAGACAAAGCTTCAGGATTGAGATGAGAGCCAAGAGCTGTTGCCTGAGACCTTTTCTGCTTCAGAACCATTTTGATGAGTGTGGAGGGAATCCTAAGCTCTGGCCTTGACTGGCATTCCTTGGTGACTTCAGTTCCTCAGGGAGGAACCAGGGTAAGGACATTACCGACATTCACGGAAGGACTGGATAGAAACAGTTAAGTTTCTGTATCTAGGCAACTTGAAACTATTGTGGAGTTTGTTCTAACTGGCATGGTGGTTCAGCCCTCTCCTCACTGCCTGGGGGGCTTCACAGAAGCTCCTTGCCCCCACAATGTGGAGGGGGATGAAGCCAAGTTTGAAGTCATTGGCAGAGCTGAAGCCAGGCTGTCTGTGGCAGGGGCCAGCTCATCTCCTCCCTATTGCCCTGAGAGTTTGTCCTAGTGCTATTTTGGCCTGTGGTGTGTGGTTTCATTGAGTGGGCCAGTTTGTAATCACAACACAATCACATCTTTTAAGGGTTGAGTGAGCAAGCCAGGAGAGGAAACTGCTGAAGAGATTTTCCTCAATTAGTGAGGCCTTGTCTTCCCTGAGAGGGTCTTTAAAGTTAGTACAAGGGTAAGAAGAGGGGGTGGAGGGAGAAAGTGAGAGAAGGGGAGGGGGGGAGAGAGAGAGGGAGAGAGAGGGAGAGAGGGGGGGAGGAGAGAGAGAGAGGGGGGGGAAGGAGAGAGAGAGAGGGGAGGAGAGAGAGAGAGGGGAGGAGAGAGAGAGAGAGAGGGGAGGAGAGAGAGAGGGGAGAGAGAGAGAGAGAGAGAGAGAGAGAGAGGAGAGAGAGGAGAGAGGAGAGGAGAGAGAGAGAATTTGGGGGAGGTGGTGGCAGGGAGGCAGCAATTCCTGCAAAGTGCTCCCAGCTGTCCCTGGTTTATGGACTAATCCCAGCCCTGCTCCAGCCTGTCATTCAGGGTAAGCTGCTATCATTAGTGGTTAAACATTTCTGAAAGTATTCCCTCTCAACTCTGACCACATGCCCTTTCGTGGAAAGGAGGTGGGGAGGAGCCAGGAGAGCAGGGAGTCCCACCCTGTTGTCTACACCCAGCTGCTCTATAGAGTGACAAGGAACCTTGGCCCTGGAAGAAGTCAGGATTTGTCAAAGCCTGTGTGTCTGCTTCTGTTCCCTGAGGGACAGACCTACTCTAAAGACTGTGGGTCTCAAGCCTAGGAGGCCTGTTTTGTCCTCGTGAGGAGATTCTTGGTTGGAATAACCCTTTATTAAGCCATTTCACCTCTAGAGCTCTGTCCTCAACACATGCATACACTGAGCCATGCTGAACAGTTACTGAGCATTGCTGTTCCCTCAGGAGCTGGGGACTACTTTCTGCTTTTGATGTGTGGCTGTGGGGAAGGGCTTCGCAGTAACATTTCTTCTCATGAAGTCGGGGCTTTGAAATCTTTTTCTTTGACTGAGGTGTGGTTGGCAGCTTTTGTTTTATGAAGGTAGCGCAGGGAAAAGTAAGATGGAGTGGGAAAGTCAAACCAAATCCTCTCTTAACTGTCAACAACTGCACCGTCTTTAGGAAGTGTAGACCCCAGAGTTTGCAAGGTCATGGGGCCTCTCATTGTCGGTCATTTTCACTGTGTTTTGTTTGTTTTGTTTTGTTTTGTTTTTTGAGACAAGGTCTTGCTGTGTAGCCTTGGCTTGCCTGGATCTCACTACTGAGTGCTGGGCTTAAAGATATGTACCACCATTACCAGTTTTTTTTAATTTTATGTAAGTTAGAAACAAGCTTGTTTCACATGTCAATCCCAGTTCACCTGTCGTTGGTGCACACCTTTAATCCCAGCACTAGAGAGGCAGAGGCAGGCAGATCTCTGTGAGTTCGAGGCCAGCCTGGTCTACCAAGCGAGTCCCTGTCTCAAAACAAAACAAAACAAAAAGATAAAATCTCATTCAGTAGTCTTTGGTATAGTACTTGTTGTATAACCAAGGCTGTCTTCAAACTCTGAGCAATTCTCCTGACTCAGCTTCCTGAGTGCTGGCATTACAGATGTATGCTACCACATCTAGTTCAATACACACACACTCGCTACCCCAAGAACAGTTGTTACTTCTCTTTAAAAAATATTTATGGGGTCTTTTCCATCAGAAGTGTACAAGCTCAGAGAAGGAAACTAGAAAAATCAACAAAGTATCCCTATTCCAAGCTTCCAAGATAACCACCATTAGTGTTGTGGTTTATGTCCATCTTGTACAAGAGTCTGTTACTGAAAGTTGGGCATGGTGACGCATGCCTATAATCCCAGCACTTGAAGGGCAGAGGCAGAGCCAGCATGGTCTACAAAGTGAATTCCAGGTCTGCCAGGGTTACACAGAGAAACCCTGTCTTGAAATAACAAAAAAGAATCTGTTACTGAGAAAGTAGGTGACTTATAACCCCTCACAAAACCAACGGTTCCTTGTGCTGTAGGCCTATCCCAGCCTGGTGGAGAGATGCTCTCAGTAGCAGGGAGACTCTGCTAGGTGGTCTTTCTGGCAGGAAGCTCTGTTAGAGATCAAGTCTTACCACTTGCCCAGTAACTAGGGGAAAGTAGCTCCAGAGAAGGTCAACAAAGGACCATCTATTCCACCTTCACCCTCTGGCCGAGGAGGAGGGGCCGGGTGAGAATGTGGTCTGCAGAACTTCCTGTTTGCTTACTTACTTGCAAATGGAGCAATAGAGCCACTGTCAGAGTGGCCGCCCTGAGTGAGGTGGTACATTAAAGTGTAATGCTCAGGTCATGGTGGTGTCACTCAGTGAGTGTGGTTTCCTCTGGGGTCTCTGTGATCAGTTTTCTTGTTCCTGGTCCTTCTGCCCATGCCCTGTAGTGTAAGTTGTTCTCTCAGCCTTTGGTTCCCTGCCTGGAAAGGACCAGACTTGTAGAGCCTGGCAGTGGTGGCGAACACCTTTAATCCCAGCACTCGGGAGGCAGAGACAGGCAGATCTCTCTGGGTTCGAGGCCAGCCTTACCTATGGATCAAGTTCCAGGACAGGCCCCAAAACTACAGAGAAACCCTGTGGGGCAGGGTGGGGGGAAGGGAGAACCCGACTTGTCTTTATTCATTAGATGGCATTTAAACCATCTAGTTGATGCAAATTAAATAATGACCGTGGGCATACCAATAATGTCTGTTAGCGAAAGAGCCAAGGCAGAGAGGCCTAGACATTTTTACTGAGTGGAGTGAAGGAACCCTACAGAACAAACTTTTGTCATCGTTGCTTTGTGCTCTGGGAAAATAGCAGTTTCTTCTGCTAGAACCCTCCTTAAATCCGTTTCACTCACCTGGAGAGCTGTTAAGTCCTCTTGTCTAGGTGTGATGTCCCAACATATGCACTGGCTCATGCTGCATAGTCATCTCCCAGATATAGGGGAATGATTTGCATAAGTTTGGGCCCCTGTACCTAACCGGAGAAAGTTCATCCACTGCCTGTCCGGAGGCTCTTGTTTATTCCTAACATCTAAGCCCAATAAAAATAATGTGATGGTCACAGGCTATTTTGCCAGTTATTTCAGATGTGGGGGTGATCTGCTCCTGATTTGTTTATTTCAAGTGGAAAAGTTTGCACAGAGCTGCCTTTTGGGCTTTTACCAAGAAGGAAGCTTCCCTGGGCCTCTGCTCAGAGCCAGCTCCTGTTGAGTGCAGAGCTGAAGTGACTCCAGGTCTTGTTTCTAATAAATAGCAAGAGGGGGAAGCGTCTTTCTTTCTCGCGGTGACTTATGTTGGTCTGCTTTCTCCTCTGCACCCCCAGAACGCACAGACATTCAGGTGGCTCAGCCAGAGCAACCACAACAACCGGTGACCAAAGCCCTGGTGCTAGGAACCGGCACCGCCAGCCTGTGAAGAACCCCAGCAACAGTGGCTTAGCCAATGGCACAGGTGAGTGATGACACTCAGCATCAGCCTGGATGGAACAGGAGGTCTGTGCCTGTCCTGTTCGCACTCAGGGCATTGCCTTTTGTGTCAGAGCAGTGAGAGAGACTCCAGCACTTGTGTGAATTTGAGTCCATTACTTACTCCATTGACCCATCTTGTTTGACCTCTGGCTTACTCTGGACATCCAGGGTTATTCTCCACGTTCCCATGCATGCCTAAAATACTCCTTTGGGCCTGGGGATGTAGCTCAATTGGGTGGAGACTTATGTAGTCTTCATGAGGCAGACCTGGGTTCAGACTTCAGCACCTTATAAAGCTGGCTTAAGGAGGTAGGAGGATCAGAAGTTAAAGGTCATCTTTGACTACATGACAGTTCAAGGTCAGCCTGGGATACATAAGATTCTGTCTCAGAAAATAAAAATGAAAAGCAAAATATCCCTTTGTGGAGATTTTTTTCTTGAGACAGGGTTTCTCTGTTTATCCCTGGTTGTCCCGGAACTCACTCGGTACACCAGGCTGGCCTTAAACTCATAGAGAACCACCTGCCTCTGCCTCCCAAACACTGGGATTAAAGGTGTGCGGAAACCATCGACCAGCCGAGAAAATTTTTTACAAGTGTGTTTTTAAAATTAATTTATTATCAACATTGAGTTTCATTTGGATTAAATAAGATTTATTTAGTTTCTTTTCTTTTCTTTTTTTTTTTTTTTTTGAGGCAGGGTTTCTCTGTGGCATGGTCCTGGCTGTTCTGAAACTCGATTTGTAGGCCAGGATGGCCTTGAACTCTGCCTGCATCTGCCTCCCAAGTGCTGGGATTAAAGGTGTGCACCACCATCACCCAGCTTTCGTTTTGTGAGTGTGTGTGTGTGTGTGTGCATGCGTGCCCCTGAGGGTATGTATATATGTGCACCACATGCATACACATGCTCTCAGAGACCAGAAGAGGGTGATATATTCCCTCAGACTAGAGTTACAGCAGGTTATGAGGCACCCATGGGGGTGCTGAGAACTGAATCCAGATCTTCTGTAAGAATAGTTAACCACTCAGCCATGTCACTAGTCTTGTTGTGTTGTTTTTTGAGATAGGGCCTCAATGTGTAGCACTGGTTGATCTGAAACTCAACTGTGTAGATCATACTAGCCTCAGACTCAAGGATCTGCCTGCCACTCCCCCAAGTGTTAGCATCAAAGCAGAGGTCTACTACACCTAGCCTTAGGTATCTTATTTATAACTGGCATATTTGAAGAAAAAAAGAAATTTCCTACTTGGGGAGTTTGTCAACTAGGGAAAAAGAATGAGTTTGCCCTAAGAGCTGAGTGGAAGAAGATGACAGCATTCTAAGGGGTAAAGAGGCTGACAAATGTTAAGTCCCCCCAGGTGTTGCTGTCACTATTCCAGCATGGACACTGTGGGAGAAGAGACACTGGGTCCTATCCACATCCAGGAACTTTTCTACACTTGACTGTTTCCCTGTACTTGGGAAGGGGAAGCCTGTTACAAAGTAAATCATTTTAATCCTATTTTTTGTCTCATTGAGACAGTGTCAGGCAAACATTCATTTTCTGAAGCTCTTGAAGACTGTTAAGTCTTTAGTGACAACAGGTCATTTGGTCATTTGTTTTCATTTGGAGCCAATGGAAGGAGACATGGACATTTGCTTCCACAGACTGTAGTTGGGAGTGACACAGAAAGGACTTTTATAGATGCCTATTTGTGATTGCAGAGGCGTGACATGAAGACACAGCAGCATAGTTTGTTGTTGGCCTGTGTGTGACAGACTGACTGAGTCACACTCTATTTGGGTTGCTCTGTCATGGGTTTCAGTTCTCTGGAGCAGTGGCTGGGACTTCAGAGTCCCTCTGTGGCTAATGTTGCCTCCTTACCTCACTGTGTACAAGGAAAGGTAAAGTGGCAAGCCTGGGGCATGACTTGTCTTCCTTCCTAGAGTTGGGGACCTGCTTGAAAGAATGAGTTAAGCGGCTCCCCGTGAACCTGCTGGATGAGGTCACTGCAGGGGTGAAGTCCCAGCAGCTGCTGTCTCGGCCTGCCCAGTGGTCTGGGTCCAATCGTCACATCCTTTCCGTCTGCACAAAGGGATGGCAGCAAGCGAGTGACTGTGGACTGTTGCATAGAGTCATACGCAGCTCTCCGAGCAGCAGCAAACAGTTGTTTATAGAGAAGCTTGCGAGTGACTGTGGACTGTTGCATAGAGTCATACGCAGCTCTCCCAGCAGCAGCAAACAGTTGTTTATAGAGAAACTTGCAGTAGCCCTACTGGACACAAGCCATGTCATCCTTGTCCACATGGAAGCAGTCTCCTGATGCAGCAGCTGGGCCACCAGTCACTTTATCCTTCCAAGGCTCTATGTTACCATGATAGCAGTGTCCCTCCACCCTCTCTGCTTTTATAAAAACTGTTGATAGAATTGGCTTTATGTGGTAATGGTCTTTGAGTCAAACTTCATAGATATTTAAAGATTTTTTTAAAAGTTTTAAAATGGGGGTAGGGTTAGAGTCTTCGTGTGCCCATAGAGATCAGAGGCATTGGATCCCCCAGGAGGTGGAGTTACAGGTGATTGGAAGCCTCCTGGTGTGAGTGCTGGGAATTGAATCCAGCTTGTCTGCAAGAGTAGTGAGTGTTTAACCACTGAGCCATCTCCCCAGACCTTCTGGGATAGCAGCAAACTTTTATTTGCTTTATATTTAGTTTTAGGGATCTTTGCTTCTTGTCTTTATCCCCAGAACATTATGTTCTAGCTTATGAGGTAGGTTCCAGTCATGTCTTTAAAAATTCACATGTGTCTAGCTCCAGCAACTTTAGACATCTTTTATGGTTGTGTGTCTGAATGCCCAAACCATTCCTAAAACCTAGCTTCAAAGGGCAGCTCCTACCTGCTAAAACACAAAGGCCTTGGCCTCTGCCTCTGCCTTTTTAGGAATGATGACATTTCATCTTGCCCTTACAGGCAGCCCGGACTATGTAAAAACAGAAAGCAAGAGCTGTGACTAGGGTGGGCAGACAAAGGTCCCCCTCTTGGCAGTGTAGGATATGAATGAGGATGTCTCCATCCCTCCATCTTAAGCCTGTGAGGACCACTTCAGGATGGCAGTATAGGGGCTGTATCTCCTGCTAGAGTTTTCACAGGCAGGCAAGATTAATTTAACAACCGCTATTACCTGTATATTGTACTTATGCATATAAAAGACATTAGGGGTAAAGCCACCAGCTAGCTTTTTTATATTATTACAACTGTATAATATCCATTTTATAATGAGAGTGAATGGAAGCCTGTCTATATTAACACCATGTTTCTAAGTTTTAGAAGTGGTGGGACTGAGAAATAGACTAATGGCTTTGAACCTCATTGGACTGTTAGCACAGTGATTTACTGTCTGATTTTTTTATTGAAAATTTCACCAAAAATTTTCATCTGTTACAGTTCTCTTAAATGTGATTTGCACGCACAGTGGTTATATAGGCTGTGGTGGGAATCTAACTCCCTATACTTAGTATATGTTTAAAACTCAGTGATTTACTTGCTGGGACTTTTTTCCTCATGTGTAAAATAAGGGCCAGAGTGTACATCTTATATGTCATTATAAGGAATAAACCATATGGGAGGGGCATACAGAGTGTGAGGCATGGCGTCTAGCACATAGCTTTTATTTGTATGAATAATTTGATTATGAGGCATGGATATTTGCTTTTTTGTTTCATTTCATTATTTTTTTATCCATGCTTCCATTTATCTGTATGGTCTTCTTGTTTGCTTTTTAAGAGATTATTTTTATTAATGGAATGTGCATTTATCTGTATGCATATATGCACACATGTGTAGAGGTCCCAAGCAGGCCAGAAAAAGATGTCAGGTTCCGTGGACCTGGAGTTATTGGTGATTGTGAGCCTCCTGTGGATGCGGGGAACTGAACTCTGGTCCTCTGAAAGAGTAGCTAACTGTGCCTGCTGCTAGAGTTTCACAAACATGCAAGACTAATTTAACTGTCTCCTATTGACTGTGTATGCATGTAAAAGACATGAGGGGCAAACAGGACTCGTCACTACTGAACCATTCTGTCTCTCCAGCCTCACTGTTTACTTTTTAAAAGTAGTCTCATGATGGGAGTGTAGCTTGCCTAGCTTGCGTGAGTCCTGGCCAGTCTCTGTCCCCACATAAACTGAACTCAAGAGAACCTGGCACTATGAGATCCCATCTCAAAAACAAAATTAAAATAATAAATTCTAGTGTAGTTAATAGCCATATATCATTTAACTGTTCTTCCTCAACTCTTATGTAGTTCTCTGTTTTGTTTTTGAGATAAGAGTAGCTAGCTTGGAAGCCTTTGTACGCCAGGCTGGCCTTGAACCCACAGCACTCCTGCCTCTGCATTAATGTGCTGCGACTGCAGTCATGTACCACCTCTGCTGGCACATGTCCTATGCATACAGCTTTGTTCTTTGTTTTAAAGGAACATTGTAGTTGTGTTCCTAGGCTGGTCTTGAATCCCTGGGCTCTAGCTGTCCCATTGGACCCTTCTGAAACTGATCCTGTTTGCACAGGAGTTTGTTAGTACAATTCTTGTGTAAATGGATATGAATTTTTAAAAAGAGATCAATTTTAGGAGGATTGCTTATATGTCAAAGGCTGCATAAAACTTTCACAAATTATGCCTGGTGTTGGTGATACACTCCTTTAATCCCAGTACTCGGGAGGCAGAAGCAGGCGGATCTCTGTGAGTTCTAGGCCAGCCTGGTCTACAGAACGAGATGCAGGGCTGCCTCCAAAACAATACAGAGAAACCCTGTCTTGGGGGAAAAAAAAAAACTTTTACAAAGTGGTATATGAGATTTTCTTTTTCTCCAACCTTATAAATACTGTTCTAGTTTTTTATGCTATCAGTGTTGAGTCCCATTCATGGTTTATTCTTGCTATTACTTTTTTATTTTGCTTTGTTTTGTATTGGGGATTGAACTCCTGGCTCTATGCATGCTGTGCACACACTG